AAGAGCAAGGACATGACACAGAGGCTCTTAGATCATGAGCTATGATCTCTTACTTCCACAACAGTCTCATACTTCTATAACAAATGAGCCCCTAAACATCCAGCTGTCTAAAACCTATGTAAATAATGAAAAAAAATTACACGTCAAATACAAAAAAAAATTAAGACTCAATGGGCCAGATAGATATGCCCCCCAAGGTACTAATCAATGGTGGGGTACATTTGGTTCCTGGAGCTCATGGCTCCCATGGCTATTACTACTCTTGGGACCCCTTAGTATTATCTGTTTAATTCTCTGCTTTGGACAGTGCCTGGTTCACTGTTTTCAAAATTTCTTACAGGAATGAATGAGGGCATTCACCAACCAGACAGTCAGAGTTCATCATGGCAGGGTACCAGCCAGTACAACAAAAGGAAGAGTTCCCCACTTGCCATGGGCCTCATCAGATCCAGGTCTAGCCCCGATCTTTGCCCCTTGTTAGCAGGAAGCAGCTCCAGAAGAGACCTTCGTCCAACTATCATAAAACAAAAGCCTGGAATGATAGGTCTCCCACTACCTCAGCAGCTATTATGTATAGTAGCTGCTCTCTTCCTATGGTGTCTTGCCCCTTCCCTGTGTGATGCCATGCCAAGATGGTTGCTCCCACCAAAGAACAAACCCTTCTTCCCAGCATGCCCCTGTTCCTGCCTAGAAAGTAACCTAATACTTGCTCACCTCCTACCATCTAGTGATGTCACCGGCTCCTCCATTCCCTAGTCACTACCTCACTCAACCCCGCCTCAGCCCCTACAAACCCCACCCCAGTCTTTATAAAAGACTCTCCCTGCCCTGGCCATATTGTTTTTGTCTCTCCTTTGTTCAGAGACAGCCCGGCAGATCTGTTCCCCTAATAAAGGCTTCTTGTGGCCTAGTCTGGTCTTGGTTTTTGGCCTTTTACCTGACATAAAGTAGGCAAAATAATGTTAGGTCTCATTTTATAGACTGGGAAACAGATCCATGAATAACAGAGATGGTAAGTGATTTCCCAAGAATCATGTGCGTAAATAGCAATGCAGGGGTTGGTTCCCTTCCATGGTTCTCAACTGGGAGCAAATCTAATCCTACTTAATAGCATATTGGCCCGCTTCCCTGTGTATCCCACCACGTTGTACATCTTATCAGAGGGAAAGTGAGTATGCTTAAAGAAGTTCAATAAATGTTACTGGTCTTAAACCAAATTTCACAGTGGGTGATGAGTTACACAATGTTAGAGATACTGTTTGTAATCAAAACCTGTTAATCAGATGATGCACAGAACAATAAGATCTGTATTAACTCTGCTAATAAAACATGCCTTTTTTCTCTGCTCTTCCTTTTTCCCAGGCATGTTTTCTTACAAATTGTGTTGATATTTTTCATTTGGGATTTTCTCACACGTAAATTATCATGGTAATAAAAGCCTGTATTGTAGAAGAAACACCAACAAACAAAAAAAACCCCCACAGATGCCATAGGTTTCTCCACACTGGCTAGGTTCACTCCATTGTACTCAGTACCATTCCCCTCCCCCCACCCCGTGCCCCATAAAGAAAATGAGCCCACATCTGTGTGCCTTGTGAGAGTAATCCCCTTAAACTGTGACCAGGTCAGATGTGAAAAATAACTTCATTCAGGCATGGTACTACCTTAGATGAGGATTTTCATCCTGTGAAGCTGCAAAGGGGCAGTCTGTGGAGATGAGCCAAGCACGCCCCCTAGAGGTCACAGAAACGTTAGTTTCCCTTGTAAAGCTGTTTTTTCCTGTGTGTGGGCCCAACCTCGAGTACTGAAAAACTGAGAAAGGGCTATAAATAAGGTTTCAGAGCTGGTAAAAATAAAACTAGATTAAAATCACCCAACTCCAAACAGATAAGATGAAGACCATGTTAACAGTTCAGCTTGGCCTTATTTTCTAACAACTGGCCAGATCATTTAGGTGGAATCCAAAATGCATTTTGAATTACAGTTAAAACACTGCCGGGCAGGGGATTTAGCTCAGTGGTTCCGAGACGCCTGCCTCACAAGCGCAAGCGCAAGGACGTGAGTTTGATCCCCGGTACCAAAAAAAAAAAAAATTGCCTCTTCCACACATGCCCTCACCTTAAACTGTATGTGCTTGTGGTCACTGGAGGTCTTTTCTTCAGGTGGGCAGAAACAAAAGCTACCCTCAAGGAGGAGGTTTTTGCTAAGTCCCTAAGTTGCCCCTGCTGAGCTCCAACTTGGGAGTCTAACTTCCAGGAGGAAAAAGGCAGGGGATTCTCAGGTCTGGGTGAACTAGGTCTACAAAGAAGTTCAAAAGCGAATCTCACCTAACTCTGAACTAGGGGCAACGTTCAGCCTTGGCTTGGGCTTCCAGCACCTGTGTAAGAACCAAAAACTGTCAGGAGCAATGCTACATAATTTGGGGGAAAAATCATTTGATTAGGTCCAGTTCTCTTGCCTACAGGCCAGCTATGGCATTTCCCGATATGATTCCAACTTTGCCTCCCTCCCGTCACAACTGAGACCTCAATGATCCCGTGATGCTGTGATGCTCCAGGACAAGACCACACCTGCGGGAGATACCCTGGGAGGAACCAAATCTTAATCTGCATAGTTCCTCAGGGATCTAGGAATTCCACCACTCCCGTTATGTTACATTTGTTTCTCCCTAGTACTGAATAAAAGGTGCAGCAAGCTCAGGGGGCTTTTATCTTTGCTGCCCAGAGCAGCACTGATAAGGCCCAAAGCTCAGCTTCTTCTCGAAGTCTCATTTTTTTCTACCTTTCCTGTATAAGTTAATTCACCTTGTGCTGCAGGGGCTCGCAGGAGACTAGGACTTACTACAAAGGTTCTAGTACCATCCACTTTCCCTGTTCCCTACAAAAAAAACCCGAAGTCCTGCCTGGCCTGGGCAAAGCATTTTCAGAGCAATGTAATCCTGGTACAAGGGGAGGTGTGTGTGGCAGGAGGGGGAGCAGAGTAGCCTGATGGCCACAGGAATGGCAGGATGAGGGGGTGATTTTGTGGCTTCTACCAGCTGCTCAGCCCAAATGGATGAGTGCAGTAGGAGAACCATCCTGAGCTCTGGGGTCAAAGATTCTGGAAGTGGCACAAGGACTGCCTATGAGGCAGATAGATGCCTGGATTCTGCAGGCAGTGCTTAGCCCAAAGTCTCACAAACAGTAGACAAGGAGATGTGGGAACTCTTAGCAGCCCTCCAACTCCATTTTGTGCTTTGAGGTTGCTGGTGGCCTGGGGGAATACTGCTTTAAAGTGAAGGGAAGCCCTTAGATTTCCTGTTAAAACAAACCTAGAAGAGATGTTATCAGGTTCCCCAGGAGACCCACAGGATAGTTGCATTTTTGAGGTATGTTTTGGTTGGGAGGAGCTGGCTGCTGGATGCCACCTGGGGCTTCCTAGGCCCTGACCTTAAATGCTCCGGGAAGGTGTCTGGATAACACAGCACTGGGCCTAAAAGGGAGCATGTTCATCAATCCTATTCTGCCTCCATCCTGCCCCAATTTCCTTATAGACCTAGGTTTTGAGACAGCTATACTTTCCATTTCTATGCTGAATAGTAACCTCCTAAGGAACATGTAAATAGTCATAGCATCCTGGAGCTAAAAGGGGTCTTAGAATAGCCCTCTCATTTTACAGGTCACCCAAAGTAGTTAATGAACTTGCTCAGTTCTGCCTCTTCTTGGATTCTTTTGGGGTTCAGTGGGATCCTAGGTGACATGATCTGAAAGCTCTGCATAGTGCTTAGGGGCAGCACCTGTTCTTTGATATGGCCTCCAGGAAGCTTCTGAGGCCACTGGCCCTGACTGCCCCTATGGTTCATTGAACTTACAATGAGCTTGCACAGCACCTTCCCTCTCAATTTAGGAGCCATAATTCCAGGGGGTGGGGCACTGGGTTAAATGCTTTGTGTGCATTACCTCATTTGTCATTTCATCTTTTTCACAAGTCATTCTCTGGGTTATAAGTTTTGGTTTCATGTGTTATGATGAGTGGTCTGAGTCTTCAATACAAGAAACAAGAGGGTGAGTGGAGGAAAATCTACCAAAGAAGGCTGGTAGCCTTTTTACCCAGCCTCCAAAGCCTCATGGGGCAGTGGAGAGGCTGAGAGGAGACTCTGTGCCTGTGTGTGCCAAGAGGCTCAGTGTACCCAGTGTACCTAACCAGACACTTCCCACAGAGCCTGTGACACAGCTCTTACATGTGAGCCACAGTGTTATGGCAGTGTCTAGCTGTCCCCCCAAAGCCTCATGCAGTCCTAGGTGCTGCTTTTCAGAGGTAGCTGGACCTAGAGTGTATGATTTGGGATTAAGTGTGTGATGCTGGAGTCAAGGGTGTGTGATTACTAAATCAGTCTACTGATTGGTCTGGCATAGTTCTGGGTGTGGATTATGGGAAGGTCTATTCTTGCATGTGAGTGCTACCCGCTCTAAGGGTGTGCGGCCTGGATAAAATACAAAAGATAGAAAAAGGGCTGCTGTTGTTGCTGTTGCTTCTTTGCTACTTCATTGCCTTCTGCCTGCCACTAATTGTTTCTTCTCTGTCATGTTCCTCTGCCATGTTAGTGGGTCTTGGAGCCAGCCAATTTTGAACTGAAACCTCTACAAACTGGGAGCTGCAATAAATCTTTCCCACTTTCACTTTGGGTGGCGGGTAAGTTACAAAGACAAGGGTCGCATTTCTTTCTACACCATTTCCCTCCACTGATGTGTTCAGAAACGTCAGGCAGACACTGCCAAGCTCCCTGTTCCAGGTGGGAAGGAAATGACCCTCTTGCTTTACAATGAGTCGATCAAAAGTTATTTATTTTCTAAAAGCATAAAAACACATACAAAAAGGGACTCACTCTTAACTAGAATTAAGAGACACTGTCATCATAACCCTGTGGGCAAGGCCTCTATGGAGAAATGATTGCTCCTGTACTATCAGAGATTCTAACCAACACTTTGCTCCCCACCCTAGAAGATACTATTTCTAAGATACACATGGACAAAGAGTAAGCTTTATTAAACCAGACACATAAAAATAAGGACTGTGTTCTTCCAGGTTCGAAAAATATAATTCCAAGGCTCTGAGGAAAATAATCGTATACGTCAGTCCCAGGGCACTTTTCTCCCCAGGAGTTGATTGGTCACTTTCTGTGGATGAAAAGAAAAGTCAAAAAAGAAGTCAGGTACTTTCACCATCAAAGACAGACTCACCCAAGCTGTACTGCTGGAGACAGCCAAATCTTGTTCATGTTACTTAGCTACAGAAACTGGCAATTAGACAAAAAAATATTTCCTAAAGAGTTTAGGAAAGATGATCTGTAAGCAACATATATTATTTCCACACAGATACTGATGGTCTATAATCCTGATAGACTAACCAGTCCATAGCCCATGCACTGCATAGCGACACACTAGAGAGCTGGACAGTGCCAGGGACCTCCCCCGAAAAAAACAGCCTGAACTCTGGGGGGCAATACAGAGACAGTTCCCCAACCCCATCTGATATGATCTGGTCTTTGGGATTCTTACTTTCAGAGTCCTCTGATGTACAGTGAGAGGTTGAAAGGGAAACAACTCGCCTTCATGCCCAGTGGTCAGTCTGGTTGCTCAGGGAATTAACTGGTAGCAAGATCCCTATCCTGCAAGCTTTTTGGACTTGTAGCACCACTGATCCACTGGGGCTAAAACCTCTGACCTACAGTGCTGACACCTCTTAGGCCACACTTAACACATTTTCCAGTTTACTTTAGCAGTTCTAGAGGAACAGTGGTACTTTGGTTAACAAACTTAATTCTTTTTTTTAATAAACTTCAAGTTTATTATCATTAACACTTCAAGTGTTAATGATAAAAAAATTTCAGCACAGCTGTTCCGTTTAAAAAGTGAAAGTACATACTATATTTCTAGCTCAATAACACAGATGAACCTGATGTCTTCGAATGACATAACAATTGAGCATTGTACAGTACATCTTATGAAGACCCATAAATTAAAACTACTGTTTTAAAGTCAGTGATTATGAAACAAATATGCATTCAGTTTCAGCTTCTTTTTTCTTCCTCTACCATCAGGTGCTCCATCCATTTTAGGCTTCTGTGTTGAATGCTTTGGTCCTTGTTTCTTTTTCTCTGCCTTCTCCTTCTCTTCTAGTTCCATGGTTTCTCTTTCAATCAATGTAATTAAGGTATTACATTGTCTCTGGAGCTCCACTGCAGTTCTGGACTTAAGAAACCAATCAAATCTGAACTAAGGAGAGTTGCGGATGCACTGCTGCAATTCATCAGACATTTTCCTCGTCAAATCCAAGTTTGTGAAGCATACAAATCAGAAAATGATCCTCCTCCTCTGTGTAGTTTTTCCTTTGTTAGTACCATACGATAATTCAGACCTGATGAAAAGGTGCTTTGTACCACCCAATCTTTGTATCAGGTGCTTTTTTGATGCTTATTCTTCTTTGAATTCTTGCCTCTCCCCTTTCAATCGTGATCTTCTCTATGTCCTGGAGCTCACTGCATCTTTCCCAGAACACAGCTGAATATTCAATGACCTCTTCTGGAGTTTTTCCTTCCACTTCTCTTGCTATATTTTCAATATCATCACGACCCCACTTCTCATTAGCTTTAATAAATTGTAGAGTCTCTCTTATTCCAGTTGGTACATCCCTGTGTCAGAAGCTTCTCTTTTTCCTCTAATTCCTCATCATTAAGGGGCTCCACTTCATCAATTTTAAGCTGGTCTTCTTTCTGCACCTGTGCTGCATTACGAAGATCAGGACTTCGAGGTACCTTGTACCCAATAGTTTTTCTGTATACAGAATTTCTTTTTCCAGTAATTCAAATAAACTTGGGGGAAAGAACTGAAAATCCTGAACAATGGGTTGCTTTGGAGGTCAAGGAGCCTTGGGTGCACAAACTTAATTCTTTCCATAATTCTGGCTGTAGAATTCATTCCACTGTTTTCTGATTTATCCATGAGGAGCATAAAATCCTTTGGGACTCTGACTATTCTTATGTTTTGAGCATTTCTATCTTTACACCTAAGTTGCTTCCTATGTGTGGAATATGGCTTCATTCCAAATGCACGGCAAGTGACTTATACAATTAAGGCTGAGAAGCTCAGCCTGATTTGAAACTTGGTAACAGATGCCTTGTGTTTGAAATTTCAGCACTAGAGAACAGTGCATTTTGAGTTTCAGTTCACTCTACTTCTCAAACTTGGGTCATTCTAAGTGAATGATCCATTCTGCTCTAGACACAGTACTACCTCCACTGACCTTTTTATACAGCTGAGCTCGCAGCCGGTAAGATTTATATTCTGATCTTCTCTTCTCCTCTTCTCTCTTTTTCTGTACTTCTGGAAGCTGTTCGTAAATCCTTAGAAATGGCACCAGTTGAAAGAAAGAAAGCAATGAAGTCATGAGGCACAGAGGTGATCGCAGATGATCTCTTCTCACCACACCTCCCCCTAAGCTCTACTGCTCTACCCAGACAGGCCTAGTCCATATAATGTGCCCGGCTTCCTGTTAGACACCTGGACATAAAGAACCCTGGCCTGTAGTGCTCACAATCTGGAAGAGACAGATAAATAAAAATATAATGGGAGAAGACGGGGACAAAGGGGATAAGGATAAAGTTGTTTTCCCCTCTATATGCAAAAATGTACTGTTTCAACATAAGATAATGAATAGGTATTACTACTGTATTTTTAAACACAAGGAAAATACTGGGAAAGAAATAGTTATAGTTATATCTACAAAATGCTACAGAGTTACAGGAGAGAAAAAGAAACTTATTCTGAAGGAAGGAGGTCAGGAAAGAATTCAGAGAGGAGATTAGGCCTCAGCTGGATCTTGAAGAACAGAAAGAGAAGAGAAGATGGGACAAAAGGTGTCCATGTCAGGAAAAAGTAAGTATTGGTAAGAATAAAGCCAGGACTGCATGAGGCATAGTGCAGGGGAACATGTGGGAAGCAGGTGGGATGAGAATGAATTGGACTGTAGAGGGTCTTATAGTCATGTGAAAAATGAGGTTCTGTTCTATCTGGCTTTGGGTGCCACTGATTTGAAGTTGGAAGGAACGCAACCAAATATGCATGTGACAAATATGCTCTAATTGGAAATAATTAAATTTCCAACAAAGGAATAGTTAAGTGAATTATAGAATATATAGTGAATAATAAAAATAAAATGAATAATAAAAATAATAGAAGTTTAAAACTTTGAGTCTCCGTCCAGTAGATGGGCACTTAGCCCCCTCCTACAAGTATATTTGTGATTGAAAGCACCAGTATCTTACAGAAGATGCCCTGCCTGTCTTCCTGTAAGCAAGCCTCAGTGTCTTATAGCAAGGACTCCTCTTGCTGAAGTGAGGGTGCAATTAGCTGCCACAAAAGGAATGCTGTATAATTTCTCTCTCCTAATTAAATTTTGTGACAGAGTTAAAATAAAGCAATGGTTTGCAAATTGTATAGGCTTAGGATTCCTTTACACTTCTAAAAACTGAGGATCCCCAATGTGGATTTTATCTATTGATACCATATTACAAGTTAAATAAAATTTACTTAGTTCTTAGGGGCTGGGCATGTGGCTCAGTGGTAGAGGGCTTCCCTCTTAAGTGCAAAGCCCAGCACCACAAAACCAAACCAAATCAAGACAAGAGAAAACTTATTTCTTAATTCACTTAAAAATAATGATAAGCTGAAAAAATAACCATAAGCTTATGAACATGTTAACAGGAGTGGTCTTATTATTTTTAAGAAAAACAAAAAAAGTTAGCACTGTTTTATATTTTTTGAAAATCTAATGTTTGGTTTAATAGAAGCCAGCTGGACTCATAACTGCTGCTGTATTGTTTGTTGTTATATGTGCTGCCAAAGTGAGCACTGTTTGTTGTTATAAATCACTCTGGCTGAAACATTTTTTAAAAATCTCACCTCACACATCTAATTGGAAAAGAGAAAAATAACATTCTTTCCAGATAACTACTGATCTTCTTTAATACTACATGAAAACTCAACAAGTGGTAGTTTCTTAAAAATCAGCTAGGGCCAGCCAGGGATTTAGCTCAGTGATTTCGCCGCCTGCTGTGCAAGCGAAAGGACCCAAGTTCGATCCCTGGTACCAAAAAAAAAAAAAAAAATCAGCTGCAAGTACAATCTGAAATCAGATTAGTGACCTTTTTATACTTTGTCACATAAACATTCATCAGTCTGTCTTGCATTTTAAATAGGCTATGTATCCATGCCCGATTTTGTAACATCATCTGGAAAATCCTGGTCCAGTGAGTTATGCAAATCTTCCAAATGGTGACAAATTTACTTACATTACATGAAAAACATCACATTTGGTTTTTTTTTTTTTTTTATACCAGGAACTGAACTCAGGACCTTGTGCTTTCGAGGCAGGTGCCGGAGCACTAAATTCCCAGCCTAATATCACATTTGTTAAGGTCACTGTTGATCTTGTCACAGAAGTCTAATTACTAGAAAGTTGTCAAACTAATGATAGTGAAAATAAGTTCTTTAGAATTCCTTTCTTTGCTGAAAGGTCAAATTTTCTCTTTGGGAACAATTACTGTCAGGTATTTTCCCTGAAGTGACAGGCTTAATTCTTCATTTTTAAGAAAATGTCTGGCATATATCTAGAATAATCAGTTTATCTGTCAGTTACTCTTACCAAGTAGAAGTCAGGCTCCATGAAAAAGGCAGTAGAAAACAAGATTTCAAGAGGGAAGCCTCAATTACACAAGATAAATTGTTTTAAGAACCATTACTTCAGAAGCACTCTGCCAGTTGTAAAACTATTTTTATTAAAGCAAGCCTGCAATGAACTCCAAAATGTAACCCGTAAGTTTGTCATGGCATTCTCATGATCAATATATGCTATCTCAAATTAATTAAGTAGCTAAAAATTGCAATGGCACGAGAGTCAAAAAATATAAACAGGTGAAAAATTAATCTCTCCTACTTCAGTACACCAGCCACTCAGTTCTTTTTCCCAAAGGAAAACACTATTATAAGGTTTTCTCTTCTAGAGATATTCTCTGCATATGAAAGTATACATATCTATATAAGCATAAATACTTCTTTCAAAGACCATAAATGGCAGTACTATAAGCATGCTCCTGAAACTCAATTTTTAAAACTTAATAGTTTTTAAATTAATTAGTTTTTAGTTAGAGAATACTCCGTTATTCCTCACTCTACTGGATAAGCTCCTACATATAAGATCATTAAGATAGCCTCAAATAAATATTTAATGTTATTTCAAAGTATTCTTTATATCTAGGTTTCTAATAAAGACAAGCCTAATGCATGCAAATTAGTGGGGATCTTTTAATCATTTGTATATTAATCATTCATACCATATCTGTTGTTTTTCTTTTCTTTTTTCATGCCGTATGTGAGAAGCCACTTTCACAACTAACTTTCTCATATTTCAATGTCAGTATAATGCCTTTACTCTGGGGGACAAGCCAGAGTTTCTGACCTTCTCGTAGTCTGGTTTATACTTTTGTAATTATCTTGTTCTTTTGGACTTACCGTTTAGACCTCTGAATCATTTCCTTCTTTCCAATAGGCTTCTTCTGGGCAGCAAGGAAGACTAAGCAAGAGAAGAAGTGGTTGTCAGTGGACAGTGACTTAATAAGGAAAGGTGTGGCACTCTAGAACTATAAGGAGCAGCTGGAATTTCATGCCCCTAACCTGAGCTGGCAGTACAGGTCAGTAAGCAATGACCAATGATCAAGACCAAAGCCAAAGCAAAGATTAAACTAGACCAATGGTGCAGAACCTATGGCACGCATGCCGCAATGGGCTGTTTGTATCACTGAAAGCTCGAAAAAGTTCACCATCACTGGATTAGAGAGACCATGACAGCCACCTATGGCCCCTGAAGACTTAGCACTCCCTAGCACAGACCAACAGTTATGCTGAAGAATTAGTTTATAGGTAAGGTTGTGATGAGAGCACCAGGTAGTACTTTATAGTTTTCACAGCTTTCACAAATTTCTTTTTTGGTACCAGGGATCGAACTCGGGCTAAATCCCCAGCCCTTTCACAAATTATTTTATTGAGATCTTAGGCTCAGTGTAATTGTTAAGTACACAAACTCTGAAGCTAGCCCACATGGGTTTAAATCTTAGCTCTTTTACTTGTGAAATTGTAATCTAAGGCAAAGCACTTAAACTCTCTCCACTTCAATTTTCTCACTGTGAAACAGGGGTATCAATAATATCTACTTTAGAGAGGTATTGTGAGAACAGTATATAGACAAGAAGAGCTATGCGTTTATTACTGTTGTTGTTACTAATACCACCCTTTGAGGTAGGACAGCCAGAACTGGCCCTATCCTTACAGGAAAAAAAAAATTATACTTTTGTAACCAACTTCCTCACAGACACTGAGCAAGAGGTGGTTTTAAAAAAATGCCATTCTCACTGCATATCTCCTTTTTATTTATTTATTTTTTTTGGTACCGGGGATTGAACTCGGGACCTTGCGCTTGGTGTGGCAGGCGCTGGAACCACTGAGCTAAATCCCTGGCCCCTTCCATATCTCCTTTTTAAGATGCAGACACCAGCTCAGAGTCCTGAGTTATTTGTATCATGAAAGCACTGAAAAGTAGGCCCATTTCTGTTAAGCCTAAGGAGATTTGAGCTTCAGTAAGCACAAAGTTACATTCAGTTTTCGTAACTAGCTTTTAGCAGTACTCATCAACAGAGCAGCTATCATGCCTTCTCTAGACACTAAAATTACAAGAGGGTATACCTCTCCTGGGCAGGCGACGCATGGTGTTGAACAGTGCATCCCGTTCACTCTGTAACATGTTCTCCAGCTTCCTCTCCTGGACTATTAACTTCAGGCGCTTTATCCGCTCCCCAGAGCGGGAGATAAAGTCGGGTCTGTGAAGCTGAAGTGATTCCTAAGGAGAAAAAGCCCAGCCTAATATTAATGATGCAAGTTGCTATCCAAGTGCCCAGAAAAATAGGATCTACCTAGCAGGTTTGGAAAGCTGGTTTCTAATGCTCAGAAAATATTTATAGTTAAGGAATACTGTGATACCTCTCTGCAGGGGAAGACTCTAGCTGGGAAATCAAAGGGATCAAAGGAATGCCTTTGAATAAGCCAAGAAATAAGTTAATGAGAGTTAAAACTCTCCCAAAAGTTGATAGGACAGAGCTCAGCCATTGTACCATTTTAAATTTCTCTTCAAACAAATATCTCACTAAATAACATGTCCTTTAACCTCCAAGGCTGGAGATGAGGGCTGGAGATGGTTGGTGAGGGGTGGGGAGGTACTCAATGGTACAGTGCTTGCCTAGCAAGTGCAAGGCCTTGGGTTCAATCCCCAGCACTGAAAAAAAAGCAAGAGAAGAGATTCAGAGCCTTTTGAATCCTGTGATAAGAAGGGACAGGCATTACCTAAATGGAGGAGATAAAATGTTCATACAAACACCAGGCCTCTAGAAATGCCACACTGGATATCTATGAACTTGCCAAGAAGTGCCCCAATACCCTCCCTTCTGTTGCCTTGTCCCCAGATCCTCAGGGTGGTACACTATTTAGAAAGTTAAGAATAAGGCAGCTCTTGATTAATGATGAGAAACCAAGTCCTTCTGAAGGGAAACAGATGAACTGCAGAGCCGCTGAAAAAGAGGGTCACATGAGTAAACCTCGGCCTGCCAAGTCACAGATGGGACTTGTTCATGTCGTGCACTTTCCCACCTAAATACATGGCTAAAGTTAACTTGATGCCACTATACCTGTAGGGTTGCTTTCACAAATGGCCTCAGTGGGTCTCGGCCATCATCTCCACCTCGGCCAGCCACTGATCCCTGACCATCCATGTGCTGTCCCTGACAGTTCTGTTCACGAAGTGGCTCCCGCCAGGGTTTCGTTTTGGTAACTGGTTCAAACCAGGAGACACCAGGACCATAAATCTTGGGCACGTTTTCCTTCTTGGATCTAGATTTCACATTTTCCACAGGGACAAACCATGAAACTCCTACAAGGAATATTTTTAAGGACAAAAAAAGATGTATCATTTTTATAACCCCATCCAGGTCTCATCAAAGACATGTATAATATAGACTCACAGGAGGCTTAGCTGTGAGGGGTCCCAGGGTGCCCTTGAGTCTGTCTTAACTGCAGGTGTGACACTGTAAGTGTAGTTCTAGATGCTTAGTCATTTAGAAATAAAGAATTTTAGCATTGCAAGAGACTTAATTCACTATTTTCTGCTATAAAACCTGGAATTAGAAACTGACCTTCATAGGAATTTGGCTTGTTCTTCCTTAACTTTTTGTCCTCAAAATAATCGGTAAAGAGCTGTTTCTCTTCAATTTTTTCTTCTGATGAAGAAGTCACATCACTGTCCTCTTCTAATCTAGCCTCACTGGAACTAGGAGTTGGGAAAGTCACTCCAACATCACGAGTGTGTTTTTTGGCACCCGTCACAATCTCCAAATTACCTGAGGGGAAAGGTTACAGATGTCTCTGGGAGTATCACAAGTTCATTCAAGCAAGCAGGTAAAATCTTTTTAATGCTTCAAAGACATGCTGCCCTTTTTTGCAGGGAGCAAGATGGGAAGTGGGAGAAGAGTAAAATGAAGAAAGAGAAGGAGGGTGGAGAGTTGCAGAGGAAAGTAGAGGGAGAAAGAAAGAAGGATTTTATTTCTAAGTTTAACTTACAAAGAAGAACAAATAAGGATTCAGTAGGTAGATTTCAGTTCTGATTCCAAGAAAGACAGTAAACATTTCTAATAGCCACCTGGGTAAGGAAGAGGTTGATAAGTCTTAAAGATAAGACTCCAGGGAGAGACAAACAAGTAAGGGAGTTTACTTATTTTTGTTTTATAATCAAAAGGCATAAAAAGGCATAAACTGAAATCCTCCTTTCTGTTCCTGTTCTCCACTCTCTGCGCAGTACCCCATCATTCTGGAGAACTATTTTTGTACTCTCAAGCAATTCTCCTCCCTCCTTTATTTTACTTAAAAAATATATGTAGTAGTATACTATACACTGTTCTATATCTTGATTTTTGTTTCAAATTATGTATCTTGGAAATCTTTTCAATATTAGCACAGAAAAAGCTTCTTCAGTCTATGTACCATTTCTTTTTTGGTACCGGAGGTCAAACTCGGGACCTTGCGCTTGCGAGGCAAGCAGTGGAACCACTGAGCTAAATCCCCGGCCCTGTACTATTTCTTTATGTGGAAGTAAAATTTCTTTAACCATTTAGTTGCTGGTGGATATCTAAGGTGATTTTAATTTTTTGGTGTAACAACCAACACTTCAATGGTTAATTTGGTATACTTGCCATTTGCACATATCCAAGTATATCTATAGGCTAAATTCTAAAAGTAAAAATGCTAGGTCAAGGTAGTTTTGATAGAAACAGCCAAATTCCCTTTCACAAGGGTTGTACCAACTTATACTCCTACTAGAATGTTTGAGAGTACTTATTTCTGTACACTCTTAGCCATAGTCTTACTCTTTTTTTTCCCCCATAGTCTTACTCTTAATCTTCACTTTTTTTTTTTATTATGAGTGAGGTTAAGATCTCCATTTTTATTTCACTGGAAAAGTTTAACTTCAAGTGACTCACCTGCCTGTATGCCCTTGTTTAACATGTACCCATTATTCTCACTGCAAAGAGTAGAGCTCAAACTCAAGAAGCTACTGGCAGATGAAACAGAGTCAGAAGAAATATTGTGTGCCACCTGGAAAAACAAGAGATTGTTTTTGTTACCTATAATCAATGGCAAAGTTACACACACTATAACCACAAGTCCTCAAGAATCCTTTCTAATCAAATTAAGATTATTGAGATGCAGTCACAAAAATTTTGTACACAATGTTAATGTGCTGTCATGTTTCTGTGAAAGGGAAGAGAATGCTGCTGTAGTTGGACAGGGCCTAAGCTGCCAAGACTTATGCAAGACAAAAAGAGGATAGGTATTTTCTCAGAACTTAACCAAACTCTGAAGATGTTAGCCAACCTGATACATTACAGAATGAAATTCTCAACTGACACCTGCATATAATTTTGATGGGATATAAGAGGTCTGCAGACAGCTAAAGAAAGTGATGAGCTACAAAAAGTGCTCTCTAATTAGAGCAGACTCAGGCCTTTATGCAAACACCAAGGAGCTGCAAGGTCCCAAGTGTGTGTGTGTGGGGGGGGCAAAGGCCTTTTTAGTTATGTGCAGGGCAAGCACAGTAAAGGATAAGTTAAGGGACTGAAGCTGATGGTGGAATGTTGGTGGATCATGAAAAGATCATTAAAATACAATTGAACAAATATAGCATAAAACTGTATTTCTTAAGCTTGATCACTATAAAAATGCCCTGGGAGAAGGGTAACCCAGAACAATAAATTGTAATCTCGAGGGCAGGAGTCTGGGTATCTATATTTTGAGTAAGTCTAAGTGATTTTTTTTTTTTTTTACTTAAGCAAGTTTGGTAGAGGTGAACTGAAGCCCAAGTAACAAGAGAAAACAGAGCCTCTGCTCCCCTGAACAAATATTCCAAGCACCCCGTGGTAAACTTGCCACAGAATCTTGTTAGATATTTAAAGACAGGAAATATTCTTATTTTTAGAAAGATTAGCATTGCAAACTGCTGGATATGGCACTGATGAGTTGTAAAATTTAGAACTGGCCACCAATCTGACAATTTGTAAGCATTTCAAAGTCAAAGAAAAGATTACCAAATTTCAGCAAGAACTCTGGAAGGCAGGCAGAACCCTACCAGGTTAGCCTAGTTTTCTTGATAGATATGGTCACTTGCCTGGCAAACCAAAAGAATGTGTAGTCTACATAGGAAGATTTGAACAAAATGAGGAAACATCTCATGGCATGTTTGAGAGAAAGATGGACTTACATGAGTTAAGTAATAATATAAATTGGTAGAATGATAACTGGCTAAATCAACCTTGTCCAAATATTACTGTCAACATGAAGGCCTTTACTAAGTGGTAGATCTTGCACTTGGCAACAAATGCTAAGCAACTACTGTGTTCCAGTCACTGAGGTTGGCCCTAGCTATTTCTTCTTAATATTTTACAGATCAGTATTTGAAGAAGTGCGAAGTGGGAGAATTTCCATATAATGGGCATAGGGGTGTGCCTGAATGGCTGTCAGGATCCCAAATAATAATAGAAATAAGGAGTAAACAAAAAGATGTTTGGGCTGGGGATTTAGCTCAGCGGTTCCACCACCTGCCCCCCAAGCTCAAGGACCAGAGTTCAATCCCCTACCCAGTACCAAAACAAAAACAAAAACGATGTTTAGTTGGGACAACAGTAAAGGGCTGCACATTATGGGGCAGAGATAGCAACTTTGATGCAAAAGAAAAAGCTCTAGGTTTGGAGTTCAAGGAATTGAGCTAGTTTCAGATCTTCCCTTTACCAGTTGTCTCTTAAGCCAAAACTTGTGACAGTTTCCCCAACTAGAAAAGGGAACAAAGTCTTCATTTCTAAAATTATGTGTTAGAAAAAATTATTTAGATGGTAAACTATAAAAAACTATAAGACTACTATGTTTAAAAAATCAAGTACAGAAAGAACAAAGATATGATTGGTGGGTAGCACACTATACTCGTACCTTCTCTGCAGCTGTAAAAGAGAAATAGAATATTAAGTACTAAAATGGGCTGATTTTAAAGACAAATACTTGAGAATAGTAAAGTGTGCTGCCATGTTTATGAAAAAAGGTAGACAACTTATGTAGATGTTTTCTTTTCTTTTAAATGTGAATATCTGAAAGAAAACCCAGATTGGAAGGGAAGAAATAAAATTCTATTTGCCAATGACATGGTCTTGTATATAGAAAATACTAAAGAATCCACAATAAAGTACTAGAATAATTTGGTCAGGTTGTAGAATATAAGATCAGTATGATTTTTAAAAAAGACACCGATGTTTCTTTCTTTTAGCAATGAACAATCTAAAAATAAAAGAAACAGTTCCATTCCCAGTAGCAAAAAGAATAAAACACTTAAGAATAAAGTTAAGAATAGACATGTTGGTTTTGCTGCCTGCTGTGCAAGCGCAAGGACCCGAGTTCGATCCCTGGTACCACACACACACAAAAAAATAGATACGTTAAGTTTGCACACTGAGAACTACAAACATTGCTGGGAAAAAGGAAGATCTAAATAAATGGTAAGACATTGCACATACATGGATTGTAAGAGTCAAAACTGGTGGGCAATGTCTCCTAAATGAACCTACTGATTGGGCACAATCTCTATCAAAATCCTAGCAAGGTTTTTTTGAAAAAAAATCACAAGGTGATCTCAAAGTTACATGGAAATGCAAAGGATCGCAAAAGAAGAATAGAGATGAGGGGCTTAATGTTTCCTGGTTTCAAAACTTACTATAAAGCAACAGAAATCACATTGTGATAATGGTGTAAAAACAGACAGATATATCAGTCAATAGAACAGAACTGAGAGTATGAAAATAAACTTACATTTATGGTGAAATGATTTTCAATAAAGGACCAAAGGTAACTCAATGAAGGAAAGGATAGAGTTCTGAACAAAAGATGATGGGACAATTGGTTCTCTACCCACAAGAAGATTAGACATCACACTATACACATAAATTAACTCGAGTCCCAGGCTAATAAGAACTAAAACTAAAAAACTTTTAAAATATAGGAGAAAATCTATGACTTTGGTTAGGAAAAAAAAAATCACAGATATAGTGCCAAAAGCATTAAACAAAATAGATCCATACAATGAATTACTATTCTACAATAAATAATAAACTGATGCATACTACAAGATGGATGAACTTTAAAAATATTAAAGAAAATGAGCTAGATGTAAAAGATAATGTATTGTACTATTATTTTTATATGAAAAGTCCAGAAGAAGTAGATTTGTGGTTACCTGGGCCTGGGAATGAGGAATGGCTGAAAATGGGTACAAGGATTTTTCTGGGGTGACAGATATGTTCTAAAACTGAATAGTGGTGATGACTGCACAGCTCTAACATGTAAGAACTGGTAACACTGCCTCCAGAAAGGAGAGCTAATGCCTGGGGAATAGGAGTACGGAGGACACTGTTTATTAAAAAATTTTGTGTCCTGTGACTATATTACAAGTTCGAGAAATGAGAACAAACAAAACAAAAATTTGCAGAGAAAAGTATGGTAATAAGAGTTTTAGTAAGTTCCACAGAGAGTTCAATAAGGACTACAATTTGTTAGGCCAGGGAAATGATCTCACTTCAAGGTGATACATTGGCTCAGTCAACACCTTCTCATCACCTAAAGTATATAATATGCTTAGTTCCAAGGGATATGTTTAAAAATAGGATGTAGGGCTGGGAATTTAGCTCAACGGTGCCACGTCTGCCTTGTAAGGGCAAGGTAGTGAGTTTGATCCCCAGTACCAAATAAATAAATAAATAAAAATAAAAATAGGATGTCAATGGACTTAGACCAAAGACAGCTACCAAATTTGAAAAGGGAAGTAGAAACCACTACCTGTGAGAAATAGTGCAAAGGGAAGACCTAAAATAAAATACCTCAGGGAAGGAGAAAGGGGCTTGAGAGAGAAAAGACTAGATATATTTTTTATGCCTTCAGAGGACCTCTGGGAACAGAGCCAGGGATTCTGATGTAAGTAGATTCTGGATCTTTATGTGTGAACACCTCTGATAACCGGAGCCTACACCAAATGGAATAGGTTGCCCTAACAGAGGAGGAGCAGTAGAGCTATTGAAGCAGAAGCAGGTGAGCTCTCAAGCATAGATAAAGAAGATGTATTGATGTTATTTATGGGAGTAGGCAGGACAACACACCTCTTGTGGTCCCTCTTCCAAACCTGAGATTCTGTGAATAGGCACATCCAAAGTATATGACCAGCCATGATAAGTACCATAGGGGATGAAAAAAACACATCATCTACAGCATATTAGATGAGAAGTTTTGGAGTGCTCTATTTTTAGTTCAAATCTCTCTGGTTAATTCCTATCTAAAGAAAGATAAACACTTTAAAAAGTCTAAAAAAATTTTCTCTCAACAAAATATATTGTCTTCTAGGTTGATGAAACTCAAAAGAACAGACCAAAACAAGTGTTTAATAGGATGCAGACAAAATTGGAACCCACATAACTTTGCTGGTAAAATGGTGCAGGCACTTTGATAAACGTCTGGTAGATCTTCAAATGGTTAAACACAGACTCACCATATGATGGAGTAGTTCCACCTGTAGGTATATATACCAAGGGAAGTGAAAACATATGGCCACACAAAAAACTTGTACATGAATGTTTACCACAACTTTATCATTGATAGTCAATAAGCAGAAACAACTCAAATGTCCACAAACTCAAGGATAAATGAAATGTGGTATATTTATATAATGGAATATTATTTGGCCATAAAAGTAATGAAAACATGCTAAGTGAAAGAAGCCAGTCACAAAAGACTATATATTGTATGATTCCATTTATATGAAATATCCAGAATAGGCAAGTCTATACAGATGATAAGTAATTAGTGGTTGTTTGTGAGCTGTGGTAAGGGTGAGAATTTGGGGAAATGAAGACTGACTGTTAATATGTACAGGGTATTTTTGGAAGGTATTGAAAATGTTCTAAAATTAGGTTAGGGAGAGTTACACAAGTCTGAGAATGAACTAAAAACCACTAAACGTTACACTATTTTTAAAAAGAGGATTCACTAATTTTTATACCACATAAACT